GGAACTTTACTGTTGTTGCCTTGACGGAAACCTGGCTCGAATCATCAATCACTAATCAGGAATTGTTCGGAAATTCATATAATGTATACAGATCTGACAGAAAATACTCTCTAATGAATTGTACTATGGGTGGTGGTGTTTTAGTTGCAGTGAATGATAGATGTCTTCTCAAATTTGCTTATCTGATTATCCGTCCTTTGGTGAACTCACTCCATCTATAGATATATTAATGGTAAAAATTAAATGTAATATTAAGACTTTGATAATTGTAAATATTTATGTACCCCCTAGAACTAGCACTGTTAACTATGAAAAGCTCTTTAAAACGATTAAGTCCACAACCATTCTGCATAATCATGATATATTAGTCATGGGTGATTTTAATATCTCCGATTACTCCAACAATATGAAAATCGGCAGATTTTCTACATTAACTTCTCATATTAACACATTTGCACTAATATTTGATCTATCCCAGTTTGATAGTATCCATAATTCTAATAATAAACTCTTAGATCTGGTATTTTCCACAAATCAGTGCAAAATTGAAAGATCCTTGGATCCTCTAGTTTGTGAGGACGAACACCATCCTGCTCTGGAGATCTTTTGCAAATTTAATACTACTTACAATAAAAATCGTCTAGCCACTTTTATAGTAAATAACTATAATTTTCGTAAAGCTAATTATCCAAAGTTATACCAAATGATTTCTTATATTGATTGGACGTTTTTAGATGCATTTCAAAATGCTAATGATGCATGTACGTACTTTTACGGAAAAATTTACAATGTGCTCGATAGGTGTGTGCCTAAAACCACTGTAAAGTCTTCTAAAATTTACCCACCTTGGTTTAATTATAATATTATTGGTCTCATTCGTAAAAAAGCAAAGTACCATCGTCTATATAAAAGAAATAGTGACCCATCTGCGTACATAGAGTTTGCTAGATTAAGGGCTCAAATCAAACTAGATGTAGATAAGTCTTATAAAGAATTTGTTAAGTCTGCAGAATCAAATATTACCACGAATCCTTCTAGTTTCTGGGCTTTTGTGAATAGGACGAAGGGTTTTAATTCCGTACCTAATAATATGAGTTATAATAATATTATTTTAGATAATCCTAATTCTATTGTAAATGGTTTTGCCGAACACTTTCAACAATCATTCATTCAGTCGTCGGATCCATATTTTACAGCTGATGATACACAACAATATACTTGTCTTTCTATTAATAGTTTTAGTGAAAAAGACGTACTGTATGCTTTAAGGAAAGTAAAAGCAAAGAAAACTAGAGGTCCTGATGATATTCCGGCTTTTCTGATTAAAGACTGTTCACATGCCCTTGCTTATCCTTTAATGGTGTTGTTAAATATATGTCTCAAAACATCTACCGTTCCAGATATGTGGAAGACATCGAAAGTGTGTCCTATATTCAAAAAAGGAGATAATAATAATAATAATAATAATATTAATAATAATAATAATAATAATAATAATAAACGTCTTTATTGCACAAAAGTACATAGGGCGAGATTTAGCTTGGCTATTCTTACACCTAACCCTAAACCTAAATCTAAAGTATTGATATGTTAATTAAAGAATAATTATAATAATAATAATATTTGACGCAAACAACTTTATACAAAATATTAAGCAATGTTAAATATAGAATAATAATAATATTTGACCCAAACAACTTTATACATAATCTTAAGCAATAAACTTAATTATATCGAACTTTTACACTAGTAATTACATTTAAATTTTATATTTACATTATATATTATTTACATTACATACAAAATAATAATTCCTATAAGGCAAACTAGATCTTCACATTTTACTGCTGGGATAAGAGCAAACTTTTGACATTTTGTTTAAAAATACTTGTTGATTTGATATTTTTTATGTTAAGATCTAGGCCGTTATATAGTTTAATCGCATTATATGAAAAAGATCTGGTGTATGTAGTCAAGCGAAATTGTGGCATATTAAGTTGTGATTGATCCCTAATAGCATGCTGATGCATAGTTGCTCTGGGTATTAGTTTATCTATTAAATATACTGGTTTTGAGGATATAATTATTTTCTGTACAAATGTTAAAATACTGTAGTCAAATAAGTGTTGAACATTAAGCCATTTTAAACTAGTAAACGGGACGGATATATGATCATATTTCCTCAAATTATAAATTAGGCGGCAACATGTATTCTGAATTATTTGTAAACGCCGTTTGTTTTCACTTGTAAGGCAAGGATAATAAACAATAAGCCCATATAATAATTTAGATATTATTAAGCTTTCACTTAGGTTAATTTTCATATTTTTAGTTAGGATATGTTTACTAGCGAAAAGTAATCGTAACCGTAAATAACACTGTTGTAGTACATGTTGTATATGTGGATGAAACCTGAATTCCTCATCGAAATAAATCCCTAAATTTTTTGCAGACGAAACAAAGGGTATTATGTCATCATTAATTTTAATGGTGATGTTAGCTTTGATATTTTCTCTATTTAGTTTATTACCAAATATTAACACATTAGACTTCTCAGGATTTAAGCGCAAATTGTGTGCACGTGAATATTTTGAAATGGATTCCAGATCTTCGGTAACTAGATTCGCTGCAAGTTCGGACTCTGATATTTTAAATTCTCGGTATATTTGAGTATCATCTGCAAAGAATTGAGCATGTGAATGCCTAATTATTTCTGCCAGATCAGATATGTATAAAAGAAAAAGTAAAGGTCCTAATACCGAGCCTTGCGGTACACCTGAGACTATTTGATTAGGTGTTGAAATTTGACTATTTATTATGACTTTCTGAGTGCGATTCCTTAGATATGATTTAATAAAATTCGAAGATATATCGTCAAAACCGTAATAGATGCATTTTGATACCAACAGGCGATGGTTAATGGTATCAAATGCTTTTGAAAAGTCTAACAAGATCAAAAAACACATATTCTGTTTATCAATGGAAGATAGGATGTTGTCTGACAAACAGGCCAAAGCAGAAGTAGTGCTAAGGTTTTTTTGAAATCCGGACTGATGTATAGGTATAATATTATTTTCAGATAAGTAATCGCTGATCTGTATGTAAACAATTCTTTCTAGAATTTTGGATAATAAAGAAATTAAACTGATAGGTCTCAGTTCATTATAGGAAGATGGATTTGGGCATTTAGGTAGAGGTATTACTAACGATGTTTTCCAATAATCAGGAAAATATCCCAATTCTAGACAACGGTTTATGATATGTAAGAAACAAATGCCAATAATAGGAAAACAAAGTCTTAACATTTGTGGTGTAATACCATATGTACCGCAAGAATTGGATTTTATTCTAAGAATAGCTTTGCTTAGGTCATCTAGGTTAACTAGTTTTAATTGAAAGGTTTTGTTTGGCAGAAATTTTTGTGTTCTATAAAATAAAATATTTTCAGCACATTGCTCATCACTATTTTGGAATATAGAAGTAAAGTAATCATTGATTTTGTATGGATCTTGAAATTGAGAAGGTAAATCTGATGTGCCTGAAAAATGAATTTTCATATCATTGAGAGTTTTGTAAAAAGATCTAATATTTGTGCTTTGATGTAACTGTTCCATATAAGCACGTTTTTCGTTTCTTAAACAAGATAATGCGTAATTTCTTAAATGTTTGTACTCATTCCAACTATAAAGTGTTCGATTTTGTTTATACTTTCGCAATGCTTTATCTCGTTCTTTAAATATTAATTTCAGATTGGCTGTTAACCAGGGAGCACGTGACCTTTTGACACGGGCCGTGCGAAAAGGACTGTGTAAATCGAATAATCAAGTAATATTATCAGACAAAAATTCAATTTTTTGGTCTATTGAGTTTAATTGTAAGATACTGTGCCATGGGATATTTAATAAATCATGATTGAATAAATTGGTATTAAAATTACTAAAATCTCTATACGTGACAAACTTATCATGAGATATTTTTTTACAAGTTGTGAGTTCACAAAATGTCATCTGATGATTACTGAATAGAACAATATTAATGGTACCTTGTTTGGTTACATTACTAGGCGTATTAATAAAAATAGGATCTATTAAAGTCGCACTTGTTTCAGTGATATGTGTTGCTTCTGTAATAAGTTGGACCAAACCATATGAGTTGAAAGATTCAATCATTTTATTTTTTGAAACGAACATGTCTACATTCACGTCACCCAATATTATAATGGTGTCATAACTGGTAATAATTTGAGGAATAATAATATCCAGACATTGTAAACATTCTGACAATTTTGCATTTGGTGGTCTGTATAATACACCAATACAATAACTACATACACCAATCTTAAATTTAAAAAATAAATATTCTACAGAGACATTAATGTAATTACTGAAGTCTAAGGGTTCACATTTGAAGTTAGAATGGACATAGACGCCCACACCTCCACCTATACGATTAGGTCGGTCTTGTCTATAAAAACTATGACCAGGGAGTGAGACATGACTTGAGGGAATTTTACTTGAGAGCCAAGATTCAGATATGCCTATAATATCAAAATTGTTTTTACTAACTAGGTCAGTAAAGTCACTTAAGCTGGAAATAAGTGATCTGACATTTGCATGAGCAATTTTAAGATTACCTCTATTATGCAAATTATTTTTATTAGCCATTGATCTAAACAAATTTATGAATAGTCAGTATTGATTTTAGCGCGTTGTATATAAAATTTAAAACTAGGACAATCTTTATCATATGCTACATGATTTACATCATTTTTTAAATTATATTTTTGATTAGACTTTACACAGTTACAACATTTTTTAATATATTTTTTACAATCAGTTACCTTATGGTTACCTGCACAATATACACACACCACATTATTCCTACAGTTGCCTTCGCGATGATCATATGCAAAACATTCTTTGCAACGACGCACATAGATGTCTTCCTACACAGGGCATCGTTCCCAACCAATGAATAATTTTCCTGCATCCATAATACTTTCAAAAAGTCCCAGAACATTCTGCGAAAATGGTATGGCGAGGTGTTTTATTTTTTGTTTCTGTTTTTCGTATATAAGTTATTTTAAAGTGACCATCAGGTTTAAAAATTTCATTTTGTGATTTTATAATTTCTTCCAACTCATCATCTTCTAAAGGTGGGCTGTAACTAATTATTTTTATTCTAGGCCTATTTATTTTTAATGTTTCAATTCTATACTTTGTACCAAGTTTAATTTGGGTTTCATCGACTAACTTCTGCATGCCTTGCTGGGTTTCACATTTAATTACGACATTTCCGTTTTTTAGAGTATTTATGGAGTTAATTGATACATTAATTCTATTAGGCTGTATATTATTTTGAATTTCTCTCATTGTAGATTCTGAATTTTGTGGATTTATAGGTATATATTGTTTTGTCTGTTTTTTAATTGTGTTGCAGCTACTGTTAAGACTGACTGCATCTGCAAATGTTTTCTTATTTTTCTCCAGTTCTTTGATCTTTTCATTGAGCAATTCAATAATTGTATTTTGATCTTTAATAATTGTTTCTTTATCCATTATTATTGTTTTATATAAATCAATAGTTTCACCTTGTCTACATTTGAAGCAATTGAATTTTAATGTACGTTTCTGTAATACAATACATCTTATTTCTGTAGACGTTAATTCTGAGCAGTCACCACAAATGTAAAATCTACAACTGTCACAGGCAAATACTGGATTTTTAGAGTCTTTTGGATTCCCTTTAAATTTACATTTTATACACTCAGTATCCATTTTTATTTTAATTATAGCATGATCCTCTAAAACGGTACTGCACTGGAATTTTTATTCGTTTTGTTCGCCGAGTATTAGCTTATCAATATGTAACCAATTATAGACCGATATCTGTAATTTGTAACTTTTCGAAAGTGTTCGAGGTTTTATTGTATCGCGATATTAATTGGCACATCAGCGGTAAAATTTCACCGCATCAACATGGTTTTGTACAACAACGTTCAACGCTAACTAATCTTGTTAACGTAACACAAATCATTGCCGAGAATATTGACGGTAAAAAACAAACAGACGTTGTATACACAGATTTTACTAAGGCGTTTGACACATTGGATCATGGAACCTTGCTGACTAAATTAAAATTATTCGGATTTCATGATTCCCTCCTAAAAGTATTTACATCTTATCTTCAAAGCCGTAAACAGTATGTGTATATAAATGGCTTCAAATCAGTTGAGTATATCGCAAAATAAGGAGTGTCACAGGGTTTGAACCTGGGCCCTTTATTATTTATATTATATTATATATTTATATTAATTGTATGTTATATGCCGACGATCTAAAATTGTATATAACCATTGCTCACAGATCCGACTGCGAACGTCTTCAAGCTAATATTGATAGAGTTAAATACTGGTGTCTTAAAAACAATATATCGCTTAATGCCGCGAAATGTTTTGTCATGTCATATGGTCTTAGCGCCAATCCTATAATATTTGATTACATCATTACCAACAAAATCATCCAAAGACCAACGACTATTACAGATTTAGGTGTTACGTTTGATAGAGAATTATCTTTTGGTCCGCATATAAATACTGTTATATCCGCTGCTTCTCGTCTTTACGGATTTGTTGTACGAGCTAGTAGAGACTTAACCAATCCGTCTACACTCAACACCCTCTACTATGCATTCGTAAGGTCAAAACTTGAGAATGCATCTATAGTTTGGAATCCATTTTATCAAATTCATATTAACAACTTAGAACAAGTCGAAAGACGATTTTTAAAACTGTTAAGTTTTAAAATTGATGGTGTCTACCCTGCAATCGGAACGCCTCATAATTCTCTTTTGCAAAGACACGCAGTTAATAGCTTGTCAGCTCTCCGTTCTTGTAACTCTGTGCTGTTTTTATTTAAGTTACTGACTGATAAAATTGATGATTCCGCCATATTAGAAAGGATTAACTTTCATGTTCCTCGATTTTCGGCAAGGTCTGCATGCACTTTTTACCTTCCAGTGTCTAGAACAAATGTTTTAAAAAGCTCTCCCATTTATGTAATGTGTGAATGTTCTAACGAAATGTGCAGTAATTTAGACATCTTTAATTATTGTACTGTAAGTAAAATTAAGAATCATTTTCTCTTATACTAGGTTGTAACTCTTGTTCTTATTGTAACCTACTTACTTTTGAATTTTTGTTGTTCAGATTGTAAATATTATTTTTTCTTGTAATCCTGTTCTTTAATTAGGTTTCCTGTTGAACAGTGTATTAAATAAATAAATAAATAAATAAATAAATATTATGGTCAGCTATAAAAAAATAAATTTAGCCAAAATGTTTCCTCCAAAAAACTATAAAACTTTTTTTTCTAAAATACATATTTTCGGCGGTATTCAACTGTAACACTTTAATTTGAACACCCGGTATAAACTAGTTAATAATTTATTGGACTGTCCAGACCTGCTATCCCAAATTAAATTTAGTGTACCGCATTTCAATACAAGATATAAAACGGTATTTTACTTGCCCACGCCTCTAACAAATATTTTGTCAAATTCACCTATTCATACCATTTGAAATAATTTTAATAGATATGCAGCTGAATTAAATTTGGACATTAAACGTAAAATCAAAGAGTACTTACTCAGACAATATTATTAAATAGATATTGTTTCATTCTTTCGTTAGATTTTATAGTGTCAGTTTAAATATGTGAAGCACAAAGCTATTAATTTAAGTATTTTAAGTTATTTTATTTAAATTAGGAATAATTATATGAATACATATATATTTTTTTATTGTGTTTTCTCTAATTTAACCTGTTTGGACAATAAAGTTTTTTTATCTTTTAATCCATTTAGTAGGATGCACTATGGGCCTAGTCTGGCCTAAGTGCCGTGGGGTAACTCCTTCTACTCACGTTTCAAATACAGAACTCTTCTAAATACAAGTACAGTTCACTAATAGTATATCTCCCAACTAATAACAGTATGAACAAAATAAAGGAAGAATTTAAAAATTACAATAAAATAGAAGAGAAAGCAAAAAAAATAAAAGTGTAGAAATTAATGTAGCAGAAACAGATGTACAATAAAAAGATATAAAGATTAAAATTGAAGAAAAAGGAGGTGCAAAGAAATGGGATGAAAATTCAAAGATGAGACTGCCCAAGTAACATTTTTAGATTTATCAAAGTATACAAGGTAATCATAAAACCCTTTTTTTAAGACAGTGATAAAACTTCTGAATCCGCGAGATAGCCTTAGGGCTGCTATAAATCTGCTTTAAGAATAAAAGGGAGAATCCTATAACGGTTTCTAAGGAGTATTTTTAAAACAATATCTTAAGACTAATTAGACTTAAGACAAAGTCCGTAAGAGTATATTAAGAATTGTATTAAATCATTTTTAAATCTTTTTTAAAATTATGATAATAAGTGGGATAGGCATAAAAACATTACAAAACTAATCAGTTTTAAGTAAATTTAATTTTAAACTGTTTTAGCTTTATTCTATTTTATCATACTCTCTGAAAGAATGATTTTGCAAACATGTTGGGAAGACTGCCATATCAAAAATTAATTATTATATAGTGTATGTTTGATTTGTTTAGTTACACTCGTTATTTCTTTAATTTTCAAACACACACCAAAGTACTGTTAAAAGTGGGCAAGGTGGGTCGTAATAAATGATGGGCCTTACAATATATGAAATATACGTGAAAAATGATTATTATACGGATTCTAATCTATTTACCGAAAGTTATTTAATAGAAAATAACTTTGTAAATATCGAATATATAGCACTATAAAGTAACTACATTTGTCTTCGATATGTTTTTCATATAAAATATCATATTTTGTATTTTTAAAATTATATCATGAAAGTGACTATTTAACCGCCAATATAAATCCCATTGTAGATTTTCCTTTGCATAGATACTTGTCATCGTCAGAAAACCATTTTCAATTGCGCATACTACCTACTGGACTATCCGAAACAAACTTTGTGTTTAATCATAAATTACTTTAGGCGAGGCAAGAGTTGTATAACATTATATCATAGTATATTCCTATATAAATCACATTTATATACCCTAAAAGGAATTAGCTGTAGATATATTTGACATTATGTGGTTAAACGCAGTAAACGCAATCATAAATAATAAATCTACTGTCATTGGCACAATGTTGTCATTGGCACACTGTTGTCATTGACACACTATCACTGTCTTTGGTACACAAAATACGTCACTACTAAAATCGAAAGATTTTAGATATATTTGAACTTTGACCATAATTTATTTGAATATCCTTTAGGTGCAAGTCTGGTAGACAAGTACTTTTTTACATGATATGTGGTTAAACAGCCACTGCCATATTTAAAACGGATGATTTCCTCATTGTGTTCTATCTGTACCTAAAAACAGACATTAGCTTATAAAACTAATAATGCAAAAAAATACTTTTTAGGACTTTCCAGTGGTAAAAAGCTCCTGCTACACTTTTTAAAGCGTTTCATAAAACAATAGTAAAAATGAAAACCTCATTAAAACATTCATAAGTTCAATCAGACGGTCATAACCTAACCTCACTCTTAAGCTTCTTATTTACTCTACGAAGTCATTCAAAATACAAAAATTAGTAATAATATATTAACCATTTTTCTCTTTTACTGATCATTTCCAGAATATTAGGTGCCTAGGCAATCAGTGTTGCCAGTCTATTACAATTGTACTAGATCTAGTTCATTCTCTGGGAATCTGGTACTCTAGTATACTCGAAGCAAGATCTAGTACTTTTTTCAGCGTATGTTTCCATTTGAAGTGTAAAATATATTGTTCAAAAATTGCCAGATAAATTAAAATAATTGTTAAAAATTGCTTCATAGATAAAATAGTAAGACATTTCTCGAGAGATAAAACATTGTTCAAAAATTGCACGAGGGATCAAATATTGTTCAAAAATAATAATATTAATAAAAATTATTTGCAACTTTAATTTTTGTATACAGATATAAAACATGAGAAAAAGAAAACATGTGTCAAAGAAGGCTGCGAAAAGGACAGATGAACAGTAGAGACTGATCAAAGCACCAGCCCTAAAATATGTCCAACACCACAAGACATCGTATAAACAAATATGATTTTTTTTAACAAAATATGAACATTCTATAATGTAGGTAGCTATTAATTACTTTGCTGTATCGAGAAGAAATTTTTTATAAGATTTTTTGAATTTTTTTACAGACATTTCTTTAAAACGTTCTGGGATATCATTGTACAAAGCGTAAATGTTATAGGTGAAAGACCGTCTGAAAATAGTAGTATTATGTATTGCAGGTGAGATACGACCACAAAAACGAAGATTTAGACTAGGAACATCAGAACGATACCTAATTTTATTAAAAAGATATGGAGGACATTTATTTAAAATAATAGAATTAAACAAATTTGCCGAGTGTAAGACTCGTCTGGATTTCATATCTAGCCCGTTTGAATCCTTGAGTTTATGTCGAATTTCCGTATTCCATATGAAAATCTTAAACAAGATTTCTGTACTCTCTAAATTCTAGTTAAGTCTGCGCTATCTAAA